CCACGGGCGGCGAGAGCTGGGTGTCGGCGGAGGAGATCGAGAAGTGGATGGAGGAGGCCATGCAGATGGTGAGGAGCCCGGGAGGTCGACGCCGCGGGCGGGAACTTCCCCGGCTCGCTGCCCGGCCGGCTCTGTTGAGCCAACGTCCCAGGAGCTTCCTCGCCCCGCGGCCCCGACGGCGCCCGTTCTCCGGGGAACCGGCGGGCCGGGGACGGGAGAGGAAATGCAGAGATGGTTCCTCGTTCACGGGCGCGAAGCGCCCCCTGCGGCTGCCGCTGGCACGTGCGCGGCGCGCCCCTTCTTTCCTGGGAACACTCGCGGGTCCGCCGGGCGCCGGCGCGTTGCCTTCACGGCCCGAGACCCGCCCGGGGGAGAAGGAGGGAAGCGGGGGTCCGGTCGGGAGAAAGACGGGGCCGTGCGGGCGGGTTCCACCGTGCGTCCGTCCTACTGCCTTCTGTTCCTTTACTTAAACCTCCCCTGGCTGGGACAGGACCGTCGATGGAGGGCTCGTGTGTCATCCACGCTTTTCCCGCCCTTCTGGGCGCCCCGAGCTCCTTAGTGGGGACAGACGTGTGCTGGGCGTGCGTGCGTGTGCGCGCGTGTGTGTGCGCGTGTGTGTGTGTGCGTGCGTGCGTGTGTGTGCGCGTGTGTGTGCGTGTGTGTGTGCGTGTGTGTGTGTGCGTGCGTGCGCGTGTGTGTGCGTGCGTGCGTGCGCGTGTGTGTGCGTGTGTGTGTGTGTGTGTATCTATCTAGATCTATCTAGAGAAAGANGTGCTGGGCGTGCGTGCGTGTGCGCGCGTGTGTGTGCGCGTGTGTGTGTGCGTGCGTGCGTGTGTGTGCGCGTGTGTGTGCGCGCGTGCGTGCGTGTGTGTGCGCGTGTGTGCGTGCGCGTGTGTGTGCGTGCGTGCGTGCGCGTGTGTGTGCGTGTGTGTGTGTGTGTATCTATCTAGATCTATCTAGAGAAAGAAAGTGTTCTAGAATAAATCAGTTATATATTATTACAGGATTCACTTCCTGGGTGTCTGGTATTAGTATAACATTGTACTGGGCCTGAGGGAAATTCTTAAGGAAATCAAGCACAGATACTTATCCATTTCAACAAATGTGGTGTAATTAAGTGTTTCTCATGTTTTAGGCCTTGTGCTGGCTGCCAAGGCTGCAAAGGTGAGCAAGTCAGGTTTGCTAGTGCCTGGATCTAGTGCATGCCCCCCAGGAACATACTGTTTAATGGATGAACCTAACCCATGCACTAATGGAGAAGCTAATAAGTAACATGTCCAGGGTCCAAAATAAGAGACAGGTATAAAGTACTCTCAGATAATACTCAACAAAGTCCTGAGCAAGTCAGTTGAGACCAATTTGGGATGCTCACTGAATTTTTAAAAGAACAGAAGGTATGCGGGTTGGTGGAAAGGAAGGGAAAGGCTGATGAAAGCAGAGGAACTGTCAAGTATCAAGAAATGGGGGGGCTTTGTCTGGGGTTAGGAGGCGATCCAGCTATCTGTCTAGAAAAGGGCTTCCTAACCTGGGGCCCTGAAACTATATATAACAACGTTATGTGCACCTGCCTGTTCAGTGTGAGAGAGTCCATAGCTGTCATCAGATTCTCACAGGGGATTTGACTGTGAAAAGGGTAAGAACCAAGGGCCTAGGAAAATAATGAAAAGTTAGGCTGGCTCAGTTGGCTGGTGGGGATGGGTGGTAGTTGGGAGGCTTTCAGTGCCAGGCTGAGGAATTTAAAGTTGATAGAGGAAAACGGAGCTTCTGAGTGTCATTAGCAGTAACTGTACTGCCATAATCTTTAGTGTAACCTTTTGGATGTTATTACCTAAGAGTCATTCTGGCTGAATTGCTTTTCCCCCCAGCTTTTTCTTTCTTTCATAGGAAATCTGTCTGGGGGCTCATCAAGAGTCTGTGCAAACTGCAGTCTGCCCCCAGGCTCCCCGACTTTACTACCACCTCACTAGAAATTAGTCTATAGAGTGATGGCTTTCAGGAGACTGACTCGTCCGTCCTGGAGCTGCCGTCATCTTTAACCAGCAGGCCCTGACTAGAGCAAAAGAAAGGACGCATGAAGACAAAGCGGAGGCCAGTGTTTGGGAAGAAGGGAGATTCATTCTTCAGTTCTGAAAGCATGTGGAAGACCAAGTGGCCATTTTACATAGTAACTGAGCCTTGGCCTCTCTTCCAAAAGATGCGATAGTTAAAACCTCCCCACACAGCTCTCAGAGCCAATTTGCCTGAGCTCTTTTGCATTCATAAAGCAAGGATCGGACTTGCCAGAGGAGTTGGTGGGAGCATTGGGAAGTATGAGATGCGATGGATAGAAAATTATTTTCAGCCTAATTAAATCTATTTTGAACTTGACGGCAAAGCAAATATGTATATTTTATCTGTGCATATATACACGTAGACAGTTGACCCTTGAATAACATGGGTTTGAACTGCACAGATCCACCTATAGGAGGATTTTTTCAGTTGGTCCCTGCAGTTCAAATCCATGTGTCTCAAGGGTCAGCTCTGTGGTTGGGAATCTGCAGAGAGGAGGTAGGAAATAGAGTAAAAGGAGATAAATTTGCTGGCAGGAAAAAAAAAATCCACAAGAAAGAATGAAATGCACAAGCCCAGTCTCTTGGAGGCCTGGGTGGAGAGAGGCTGCCAGGCCTCTGAGGGTGCCCACCCCCGTGTCCTCCAGGCGAATAAGTCAGGACCTGGATCCCCCCGGGCAGTACGGGTTCTCCCTCTCCCGGGCCCCAGGCCCAGCCTCCCTTCCCTCTTGGTCTTGGTTTCTCTTCTACATGTTTGAAGTGGATAGTTTGACAGAAAGTCTGTCATGTGGCCTCTCCATTTGTTTATTCTCTTTCAGTTCTGTCAGACTTCCTGTGTCTCACTCTTGCTAAGTGTTCCCTCTCCTTTTGCCTCTTGAACTGGAGCTTCTTTGACACTACACACTGAGAAAGTAGCTGATCAGGGGTGACTGGAGTAGAAATTAGAGGCAGAGCAGTGGTGAATTGCTGAGGAACCTGGCACTGGGTAGCTGCTCCACAAACACTGTTGAGCAAATGAATGAATGGAGCCCGACTGCCTGGGCCCCAGTCCCAGCCTCTCACATGGGCAGATTCCACAGCCTCCTATGTCTCAGTTTCCTCATCTGTAAAATAGGAAAGATCATCCAACCTATCTCACAGTGTTGTAAACGAAATACATTAGTATTTACAAAGCCCTTAAAATAGTCTTGGTTCAAAGTAAGTTTTTCATTAAATTGTAAACTCTTATCATTTGCAAGCTCAGAATCAGAATGCTTGAGATGTCGCCATAGCCGTGTGTTGAAATAGAAGCTGGACGTTTAACTGTAGATAAGTCACCCTTCAAGCCACTGGTTTTCATTGCCACCGTTCTGCTCAGGTTGCCTCCACATCACTGGGTCATTCATAACACCAGACGCTCCTGGTTTTCCCCCTACCTCACTGGGCATCTCTTAATCTGCATTCCCAGATACTTCTCATTCACTGCACCTTTTTAAACATTTTTCATTTAGAAATAATTACAGTTTCACAGGAAGTTGCAAAAAAAGTGCCCAGGGAAGGTCCATATGCCCTTCACCCAGTTTCCTCTAATTAGGTAACATTGTACGTAACACTCGCGCAGTATCAGAACCAGGCAAAGAGCATTGCTGCAGCCTGAGTGTACCCAGGCCGCGTCGGCGCTCCGTGCACTCGGGTAGTTCCGTGTAATTTTGTTACGTGTCTACTTTTGTGTAATTACCACCAGAACTGCCCCATAACCACAGGTTCCCTGAGGCAGCCCTTTTACGGCCACCATCCCCTCCCAAAACCCTAAACCTGGGCAGCCACTAGTCTGTTCTCCATGCCTATAATTTTGTCATTCCCGGAATGTTATATACAAGAATATGTAACCTTTTAAGATTATGTATTTTTTATCCATTCAGCATAATTTCCTTGAGATTCGTCCAGGCTGTTGAGTCAGTCAGTAGTTCATTCCTTTTTATTGCCGTGTACTTTTCCATGGTGTGGCTGTACCACTGTTTAAGTATCCTCCCACAGAAGGACATTTGGGTCATTTCCAGTTTTTGGCTATTATGAATAAAAGTCCTATGAACATTGGTTTCTGAATATGAAATTATGCATTGTAGGAACCTAAGATTTCATTTTCCTGGGTAAATATATGCCTAAGAGTACAATTGCTGGGTTATACGTTCAGTGCATGTTTAGCTTTTTAAGAAACTGCCAAACTGTTTTCCAGAGTGGCTGCACCATTTTACATTCCTACCAGCCGTGTGCGAGTGGTCCTGTTTCTCCACAGCCTTGCCAGCATTTGATGTTTCTATTTTCCATTTTACCCATTCTGATAGGTGTGTGGTGCTGTCTCATTGTAGTTTTAATTTGCACTTTCCTAATGGCTAGTGATGTGGCCGTCTTTTCATGTACTTATTTGCCATTTGCATGCCTTTTTCGGTGAAATGTTTGTTAATATATTTTGCCCATTTCTAATGGGCTTGTTTGGAGTTTCTTGTTGAATTTTTGAGAGCTCTTTACGTAGTCTACATACTAGGTCTTTGTTCAGTATGTGGTTTGCAATGACCTTCTTCAGGTTTTAGCTTGTCTTTTCTTTGTCTTAATGGGGCGTATTAGTTTCCTGTGCCCTTTGTAACAAATTGCCACAAACTTGGTGGCATAAAACAACACAAGTTGATTCCTTTACAGTTCTGCAGGCCAGGAGTCTGGAATCAGTTTCTCTGGGCCACGGCCAATATTTCAGCAGGGCTGAGCGCCCTCTGGAGGGTTGAGAGGATATATTTCCTTCGTTTTTCCAGATTTCTAGAGCAGTGATTTTCAACTTTTTCATCTCATGGCACACAAATTAATTACTAAAATTCTGTGGCACATCAAAACATATATTTCTTGCAAGTCTGACAAAAAAATAGGTATAACTTTGATTCATTCACGCCGGATGGCTATTATGTTGGCCGTTGTCATTTTTTTATCTGACAATCTAAGGGAAAAGGGGTCAGTGCCCCTTACTAAATAGTCAGGTATTGCACGTTTTAAAAATTCTTGCAGTGCACCAAGTACTGAACTGTATCTGAGAAGAGGGAAAGGTCAGTCCCATTTCTTTGTTCCAGTATTTATACCTGTGTTTATAGCTCTTGCTGCATCTATTTTTTTTCCTATAGTCCTTTCAAGTACTGAACATTACACCTGAGGTTTTCCACTTTGTTTTCCAGGCCAAAGAAGCCCTAGAAAATGTTGAAGTTCCTGTTGGCTGCCTTCTGGTCTACAACAATGAAGTTGTGGGGAAGGGAAGAAATGAAGTTAATCAAACCAAAAATGTATGTGAGTTCAGTGGTATGATGTAGGCAAAGGGCAGGGATGGTAGGAGTGGGGGCCACTGCCACAGCTGGCGAGAAGGTGGGTGTGGGCGTCCAGTAGGTGTCAGCGGAAGGGTAGTTTCCCTAAACATCTCTTTTTTTTTTTTGACTGATTTTTTTTTCTCCGATTCTAAAAGTGACACATGTTGACTTTTTAAAATTTGGAGAATTCAGAAAAATTTAATGAACCAATAAAACCTTCGGAGCTGATTTTCTATTTCATGGAGTTTTACTTTAATGCTTGAGTACAACCTAAGAGGCGATTTTATTACATGGGAGTGTCAGTGTGGAAGAAACTGTCAATCTCCGTTTTAAACAAATCTAACATATGAAAATTCCACCTTACAAAACATATCACATTCTCGAGTAACGATAAAAGGTGTATAAAGAAGCTATTTCTATTTCAGATAATTTAACAGAATGAATTCTCCACTGCCCGCTGTCTCTGTACCTCCATGAAGCATGTTCACTTTAATGGGCTGTGGGACTTTAAATTTATTGTGGTTAGGTTGAAAAGTTCATGAACTAAGGCAACACTTCTTGAATATGTATCACAACAGTGTGTCACAGTAAGTGTAGATGAAGAGTCAGATTTTATGATTATAAGAAGTGCTAGGCGGGCTCAAAGAGAGCATAAGCCCACTCACACAGACTTTGACCTTGTTTTATGACCTTGGGAGCCAGGGAACAAGCTGGTGTTGGTACTGGTGCTATGTGGGCTTTCAAGTCATCCATCCTGTCCATCAAAAACAAACTGAGGCTTAGCAAAACACATGCACAGTGGGAACCCGGATTCACAAAGCAGTTATGTGGATGTCAAAATACCTGTGAGATAAGTAATAAACATAATACAACAATTAGGGAATATATAATACTTATACTTGGGAGTAGACTTTTGTATTTTAGATCATTGTCATCTCTCCCCTACCTGTATTTTGTGGTTTGGCACAATATCTTTAACACAGGAACTCTGCATGTCCTAACAGCACCTATCTACCCTCCCAGGGGCCTTGGTTTCTTCTTTACTTTGAAATTAACCTGGATTTTTTTGGCATTCTGTGTTCTAGAGAAGAATATCCTATAATTACAGAGAAAGACTTGACCCCAAGTGAGGAGACCTGAGTCCTACTCTTGGCTTTGATTCCACCACCACCCTCTGTCACCACCGTCATCACCTGTCCCCTTGTGTATCTTTAGTCCTCCGTATCCTAGCTTCCGGCTCTTCAGCTGTAAAAGAGGAGGTTGACTGAAACGATTCAGTTTAGCAGTTACTTATTGAGAACTACGAGGAGATTTGATTTAGTAAATCTGAATCTGATTTTTAAAAGGCACTCGAGTTGGGGGAACTTTTCAGGCTCCCCAGTTGGTTCTGGTGTGCGGCCCGGTTCGCGAGCCTCTTCTCTAAAGCGCCCTCTGGCCCGGAGTTTATAGTCCTGGCTTTCATGGTACTCGGGCCACTGTGCCAGCATTTTTGACTCCCTGCCCTAGTCACAGGTAAAGGAGCACCTTTCTGTTTACCCTACCAGACTTTATTCTTGTTGAGGACAGAGACTTCTTATTCACACAGAATTTAGCGCAGTGGCTTGTACATAGTTAACGCTCAGTATCAGTTTGTTGATAAATGTGATGATCATGAGTATTATAAATAATTGTCACGTAGCAGGGTACATATATAGCATTCTACGGCATGCGCTTCCTTAAAGGAATTCAGATTCCTTTAAGACGTACAGACACCACTTTACGTATGGGTAAACCAAGGCTTAGAGAACATACGTAACATAATTAGTAACGTCATGGTCCGGATTCGAATTTAAATGCGGTTGATTCCAAGTGCTGTGTGATTTCTCCTGTGTTCTACTGCCTGCATGAAGCATCTGAGACCTATACCAAGAATCTGCTTCTCTTTAAGGTCTGTCAGAATATAAAATCTCATCCCAAAGACAATGTGAGACATTCCAATAAGCTAAGTATAGATTTGCTCAGAGTGAGGTCAGTGACAGCCTTGGAAACCCATTGGGAACTGGAGCACATGCTTATGAAAATTGCAAGTTTTCCCTAAAATATTCGGAAACACCAGGCTCATCTTTTTTTTTTTTGGACAGATCTCTCTGCTTTGGCATTTTAATTGAAAGAGTGTCTCCCCACTTCTTAGGTACTTAACCAAAAATACAGCATAATTCGTAGGGCACTTCAGTTGAAATGTGTTGTGTTGGTGAGGCCGCGGCACTTGACCTGGGGAATGCGTTGTCCACTGCCCAGGGTGTCCCGAGACCTCCGTTCTTTAAAACGTTGGCAGAAACAATAGGCCCGTTTTTCGGTTTTGGTTTTTGCATTTATTTTTGAGTATTTGCAGAATACAGTTACGCGTGGCAGAAAGCGCGAAGGCCAGCTGCTGTCTCTTTCAGGCGACTCGGCACGCGGAGATGGTGGCCATCGATCAGGCGCTGGCCTGGTGCCGGCGCGGCGGCTGGAGCCCGGGCGCGGTGCTGGGGCGCGCGGTGCTGTTCGTCACGGTGGAGCCCTGCATCATGTGCGCCGCCGCCCTGCGCCTCGTCAGTATCCTTGCCCCGTGCTCTATACCTGTAAACGTACCTCATTACGGAAGGGTAAATCATAACTGAAGCTGAAGTAGGTTATAAAACTGCGCCTGGGGAAAGGCCTGATGACTGTGCCCCCAAGCCTTTCCTTTGGACGGTAGGTTTTGGTGATTTAAACATTTCCTTTCTCTGTTTATATGTTTTTGTTGGTTTATTTTTTGCCACGAAGTCCTGTTACAGTATATGAAAAACTGTAAGTCAGAAGTCAATACAAAGTAAAAAAACAACAAACCAATCATTTGTGGTTTAATTGTAACTAGAGGGGAAGTTGCTAAAGTTACAGCTCTTTGAATTGTTTCATGAAAGAGCAAGGGACACAAATACTGAGTGCTGCAACTTAGTCTCTAAAGATTTTTAAAAATTTAATAATTAAAAAACTCGGTTTCACACTTGCATATTTTTGTCTACTTATTTTACTATGCATGTGTGAATCATTTGATCATATAAAAAATAATACAGAGGGTTTTGAGTGTGATAAAATGTATAGTCTCTAGAAAGGGCAGCTATGGTCAAAAGAATTCTCTCCCCACTGTGCCTTACAGAGTGGCTCAGCTTCAGTCTGCTTTGTACGGGGGTTCAGGTTATATTTTATTTGGGGAAAGAACAGGGAACAATCTGTTATTTTTAAAAGGTGAAAAATCTCTGGATTAACTCTTGCCTCTTTTCTGGCTCCAATTCTCTCATGATTCCAAAAACACTGATTTAGGAAAAACCAGAGAGAGCACCAAACTGTGAACATTTGCCAGCTGCATATTTAGTTTTCACTCTGTTTGCGATTGTGAGATATTAATTTCTAAATCCTTTAAACCTCTTTTGTGTAGCTGGGTTGTATGATTTTTAAGCTTAAGCCTCAGCTTAGTTGTTTTTAAGAGTAGCATGAGCTTTCCTCGCCAGGATGGCTGCTGTAAATCCTGGTTTTGCCTTGAACTGCACATTCTCTGTAGGACCTTGATTCTCTCTTATAAATCCCGCTGGTGGTGTACGGCTGTCAGAATGAACGTTTTGGTGGTTGTGGCTCTGTTCTGGATATTGCCTCTGCTGATTTACCAAACACCGGGAGACCGTTTCAGGTAACATAAACTGTTATGCCTTTTTTTTGTAATTACTTTGATCTCATCATGGGCTTGCAAAGAGTGAGCGTGTGGTGGGTATTCCAGAGGCCCTGGGAGAACGAGACGCTCTCAGGACTGCTGGTCGAGTTCATTTGTGCCTCAGTGTAAGACGACAGGCAGTCATTTCCAGGTGGGTGCCCAGCTCAGAATGGACAGAATCTCTGTGGAAGGAGAGTCCCCTGCCTCCCGAGGTATCTTCTGACGATCTTTACCCAGGCCTTGAGGTATGTGTGAAGACACTACCGCTGTTGGTGCTTCCACCCAGTTAGTGTTTCCACCCAGTTAGTGTCCCCGGCTTCATACTATACCAAGTTCTTGTGAAGCTTGGCCGCTGATGGTGACAGTAGATGCTGTTTACCTTAAACACAATATTTTTGCACAAATTCAATATTTTTGCTTAGTTGCCACGTACTATTTTTGGTGTGTAGCAATCAATACCAGCATTTACATTATTTTTTTTCCTTGCCATTGAATCTGAGAGGGTAGTTTCAGTGGAGTCCTGGGAGCACAAGCCAGCGAGGAGGAGGTTGAGGAGGAAATGAGAGCCCCAGAAATGAGGGCCACAGTTCTGGAAAATTCTCAGGGAGCAGCAGGGGGGAGCAGCTTGCCTGGAGGCAGGGTAGAAGGAAAGTCATTGAGTTGTTTCCCCATAGCTGTATTGAGACATAATTGACCTATAGTATTGTGTAAGTTTAAGGTGTAAAACATGATAATTTGAAACATGTATATGTTGTGACATGTTTACCACAATAAGGTGAGTTAGTACATCCATCACCTCACATAGTTACCATGTTGTCATTGTTGTTGCTATGGTGGGAACATTTCAGCTCTACTCTCATAGCACCTGTCAGGTATACAGTATATCGCTGCCACCTGTAGTCACCACATTGTATCTTAGATTCCTGGAACTTAACCCTCTTATAATGGAAACTTTGTACCCTTTGGCCAGTGTCTCCCCATTTCGGCCACACTCTGCCCCTGGCAACCACCATTTTACTTTTTGCTTCTAAAAATAAAATATGATACATAAATACACACACACACACAGAATGTTATTCAGCCATAAAAAAGAAGGAAATCCTTCCATTTGCGGCAATAAGGATGGACTTCTAGGTCATTATGCTCAGTCAGACAGAAAAAGACAAGTACCGCGTGATCTCATATGTGGGATCTAAAAGCGCTGAACTCATAAAAGGGTATTTGTTTTGACGGGGAAGGTTTATGCAGCCTTTGCAGGCCCAGGAGAAAGGGGGGCTCATCCTGAGCAGCGGACGGTGCCTGCTAGTCCCTGTGCCGGTGCTCGCTGGGTCCTTCCGTCTGGGTGGCGCCTCCGCACGGGCCTCCCTGCAGTCTCTGCTCTGTATCATTTCATGCACCTCAGAAGGGTGCAGCCTATCAAGCCCAAACTCCTGTGACAAGCCTTCAAACCTATATATTTTGACCTTGTTTTATCCCTTTAATTTCTCTCCTTGTACTCCCTTAATAATCACCCCTGCGCCCATCATCTGGTTTCTTCACGTGCAACCCAAGCTTGTCTTATTCTTTCCCTGGTGCTCTGGTCAGCCTCTTTATTATCCGTCATGAAGGCAAGTTCAAGTTTCAGATCCTCACTGTTCTCACAATGTCGTATTCTTCCACATGTTGCTCTCCTCTCCCCAATTAGATACCAAAGATAGCTCAAACTGAACACTAAAAAAACTCCTTCATAGTAAGAATTGACAAATTTTTTTTTCTGTAAAGATCCTGATAGTATGTTAGCCTTTGTGAGCCATTTATGCCTCTGACTCATATTCTTATTTTTTTCTTAACAACCCTTTAAAAATATAACAGCCCTTTTTAGCTGACAGCCAGCCATAGCTCTATAGCATCGAACACTTAATGGGGCACAGTAAATAAGAGCAGATAAAAATAACTCATGGTTAATGAGCCTTTATGATGTGCCAGGTACTTCACAGGTATTATTTAATCTCATTGAACCCTCACAAATCCTTCTGGGTTAATTGCTATAATTTCGTACATTTTACAGATGAGGAAACCGAGGCATAGAGAGTTTAAGAATCTTAACCAAGATCACATAGCTCATAGCTTCAGTAGTTGATTGAGAAATAATAATTAGTTGATTGCAAATGATGTTTGGCAGGCCATACTGTGTATTCTTTTGGAAACATACTTCCCGTGTTACTAGTATCCACAAAGTATTAACATGATCTGAAAAATGTTTATGTAATTATGTATTGTTTTCTGTGGGATGCAACACACATTATGACAGGCCTATGTTCATTCTCAACTTTAACTCTTCACCAGTGCATTCCGGGGTATCGGGCCGAGGAAGCAGTGGAAATGTTAAAGAACTTCTACAAACAAGAAAATCCAAACGGTCAGTTGTCCCTACTGTGTATAATGTACCTCACTTCAAACAAATCATGATGTAGGGAGTGTGACATGGGCCTGCCGCTTCATCTTCTTTTCTCTTCTGTCCCTTTCACAGCACCAAAATCAAAGGTTCGGAAAAAGGAATGTCAGAAATCCTGAACGTGTTCAAACGAAGGGACCAGTGCCCCTGGATGAAACTCTTGCCTGAGAGCTGGTGACATCATCGAACCATATGTTACATATTATCCTTCACCCGTGGGAAAATGGTCTCTCATCATTTCCTCCGTTAAAGAAACAAATGAACACTTTGAAAAAGTTTGACCATTGTAATCATCTGTTAGTTTTTCCAAAAGCAGAAGGAATATTTTAAGAAAGGGACAAATGAAAGATGAAGGTTTTAGAAATTAGTAAGCAATGCAGTGCACTTCCTGCCAACACCATGGTGCCCAGCCCAGGACAGTGCTGCCAGAGAATGAGCCTGCAGGCCCGGTTACCTGGTGTGTCTGGACCGGGCTCTGCCACCTCGGACACCTGCTCCGCCCCTGGCGTTGCAGAATCAGGTTCTTCATTCTTTGCAACCACTGTGTTCTTCCAGCGTGTCAGGGGCCTGTGACTTCTTTGGAAATTGAACATGAGTCATATTCATGTAGACCATGATTCTGTGGTCCTTTGAACAGATTTTTTTACCTTTATAAAGCATTTAGAGAAAGTGCACATTTTAAAACACGTGCTTAACTGTCATTTTAAATCGCAACATATTGCTAAAATAAAACTGTATTTGTGCCTTTTTTGAAGATGGATAGTCTTAAAAATAAAAGATAAAAGCATAAATGGGACAATTCCTTCTTTGTTACTGAACAGATGTACTGGGAATCAGTGAACAAAACAAAGAGTCCGGCCCTCATGGAGCTTATATTCTAGCAGGGGAGACAGATAATAAACAGAATAGATTATGCAGCATCTTAGAGGGTGATCCGGCTCATGGAAAACGAAAGGGCGTGCCATGAGTGGTGGGAATGCTGGTGCGCCATGAAATAGAATGGTTAGTTTGATCTGAAATCGAATACAGCCCTTTCTTTTTATAAAAATCCAGGTTTAGAATTTGAAACCTGAACCTGTAAGACGTGAACACAGCCCTGGAAAGGGAATCCACGGTTCAGGCTGGCCGCCTGCAGGCTGCCCGGCGCCGAGGGAGGGCGGCTTTGCAGAGCCGGCTGCAGTGCCGGCGCTGCCCAGCAGGGGGCCTCGGCGGTCCACCGGGAGCCGCGCTCCAGGCCCGGCCGCAGCTCCTCAAGTTCAAGTCCTCAGGGGCTGGTCCCCGTGCAAAGCGCCTGAGCCCGCGGCTCGGCCGCTGAGCGATGCCTCCGACGCGCTCGTCCCAGTTACATTACCGGCCGGGCTGCCGTTGCGGTGAAAGCGTTTTTATGTTGCCGAGAGTAGCAGCTAATCACAGCGACATGCTCCAGAGGCCTTATAATTGCTCTTTTGTACGTGTGTGTTTTTAACTGCGTTTGAGTTTTATGGAGAGGAACAGGCATGGTTTTAAATCTATAATGATGTGATACGTAACTTCAGTTTCACCTGCTTTTAAAATTGTCCTCTCATTAAATTTTAGTGCTTTGACTAGCTTATTCCTGTTTGCGGTGGGCCCTAAGTCATTTCTGGCTCCTCAGGCTTTTCGGGGAGCAGACTTCATTGCGCTCACTGTCTTCATATCACTTTCTGGGGGATTCTCTGTAGACAGAAAACCTGGAATCTTTCCTCTGGAGAGTCCCACCCCGTATGTCTGGCTAAGCATCTCATGCCAAGTAGGTTCTTCGTAAGCGTGTTAAATAAAATTATTGATTGAAATTTTGGGGGAAAATGAATAATAAGGAGAATCTCTAGGGTAAAAAGCCAAAACCGAAAATAGTATATGGCTATTTTAACCCAAGGATAGTCGCCACTTAAAAGGACCTAGAAAATAATAAAGCGATAAACAGGGAAGGATAGAAAAGACTTGCCAGTATACATGTGTTCTGTTTTTGCTGTGTTTTGGAGAATGGGTGTCTCCCGATTCCTAAGCATGGCTGAAAATTTTAAGTTTGGTTATGACCTTTATGATTATCCAGTGATTGACTTATAGAGAAGTCTCCTGAAGTTTTGGTCTTAAGCACAGTTCCCGGCATTACTTCCGGGGGAAACCAGCTTAGATGGTGCACTGCAGGTTGGAGGTTGACACCTTAGTGCTGGTAAAGGACCATCACGGAGTCAGACACGAAGGCGGGATTCTGCCAGCCGTTTCGAGGCGGTGGGGAGGAGCCGTGGATGTCCGATGAGGTGGTCCCTGCTTTCTGAGTACCACTTTCTCCAGCTACTTCGCCTGGCTTAAAATATTCAGATGCTCCAGTTCAAAGGATTGGCTCCAGTTGATCGATACTGATAGTGCCTATCTTGGAGACTAGCCGAGAGACTCGCTTCGTGTGTGAGATCATTCCGGAAGTTGTGGGGTGTCAAAGGGTTTCAGAATCTCTACCCTGCATAGAGAAATTGCTGGGAAATGACTGCCTAGAAGTTGCTAGAGTACCCAGCATGTGCTGGGTTTTGCAGTGGACTCTGCTGAGGATGGGTGGTATGTGATGCTTTGGCAGGCTTCAGTCACTGATAAAAGATCATGTTAAAATATCTTTGCACTTTCTTGTTACTTGGGCCAAGCATCTCTTCCTGTGTTGTATTTAGAATATCATGGAGAGAAATTAGACAGCCAAGAACTCCAATGTAAGCAAGAACTGTTCCTTTTTCCTTAAACTCTCTATTTGGAAATACTTTCAAACTTACAGAAAAGTTGCAAAATACCCACGTATCCCTTATTCTTCAAACCTGTTGTTAACATTCTACACCTTGAGCTTTATTATTTGCTCTCTTTCTCCCTCTCTATTCATAGATAATCATTTTTCTGAATCATTTGATAGAAAGTTACATGCATCATGCATCATGGTTCTTTACCCTGAAATGTTTCAGTATTTCCTAAGCATAGGATATTCTCTTGTATAATCTCTTGATACATTACTTTGATCTAATACGCCGCCCCCCACATCCTCACACTGTCAGATCCATTCTAGGGTCCAACATCACATTGAATTATCACATGTCTCATGGATCTTTAGCTTCTTTTAGCCTAGACCCTTTCCATGGCCTCTCTTTGTCTTTTATGACATTTAAAAACTCATACAGTCCTTCTGCCTTCCTCTTCAACTTTTTCTTTTTAAAAATAATGATGTTTTCTCATGGTTAGATTCAGCTAATGCCTTCTAGGTGATGTTATATTCTCAGAGTATCATTCCTGGAGGTACCCCAAAGCCACCTTCCTTTGCTGGGTGAAGATGTTACCTGTTTCTACAATACATAATTACTGCTCCCTTCCCCCCTTTGCAATGGGAAACGGTTTTTTTTTTTTTTTTTTTTTAATGTATTTGACATTGATGGAAAGGAGGGGAAGAAAAGTAATGATATAAATTTCACCAAATACTAAAGCAACTATTTTAGTATTTGATTGCATGCTTTGTCTTTTATTATGATTGCCAAAATTTACAAGATTTCTTAATAAGACTCTTTTAAAGAGGGATGTCTTAATAAAAATTTAAAAGAAGCTTCAGGAATAAGTTCTTTCTCTCTTGATCTCCTCAGCAAAACTAATAATTATATCAACTTAATTATATCTGATAAAATAGAGTTTGGGGAAAATAGGTCTAAAATGTTTCTGGTATCACAGATGGCCCGTAGTGATCCAATAGGTTATATAATTCTAGGTAGGTAGTCATTTGGCCATAAAATAGTTTTCTTGGGTTTCCATAGAGACATCTAGACTTAAAATGTCTCAAACACTGCTACTTTTAAAATGAGTGTCAGTAAAAATAGCAAAAGGCAAGGCTCTTAAAAAAAAAAAATCATTAAAATTTTTTTAAAGTAGTGAAGTTCCCCGTTAAAAACCCATGTTTAAGCCAAAGCTTGTCCTTCCCAGTCATCCTGCATCAGCTGGAGAAGAGGCACCGAGAACTGGTTTCCCTGCCCCTTGGCAAAGGAATGAGACTGCATTGACTTCATCCATGGAGACAACTGCCAACTGTTTCCTAACTCCGCAACTGTGAACTGTATGTGCTGAGGAAAGGGGTGATGGGTGACGTTATTTTTATGGTATAAGTAAAGTCTAACATCTTTAGGACCTTGTGTTTTTTCAAGTGGAGCTAATAAAAACAGGCCCATGGGATTCCTTCTTACCTGATTTTTAAGTGAATGTTGTGGTTGAAGAAGCATGAACTTGGGCATCTAGTGCAGGAGTTGGCAACATATCGTCTAGGGGCCAAACCCAGCCTGGCGCCTATTTTGGTACCACTCACAAGTTAAAAATGGTTTTACGTTTTTAAATGGTTGGAAAAAATAAAAATAAGTTAGTGACCTGTGAACATTAAATGAAATTTGAATTTCAGAGTCTATAAATTCTTTTTTTTTTTTTTTTAATGCAGCCACACTCACTTGTTTTTCTGTTGTCTAGGGCTGCCCCTGAGCTACAAAGGCAGAGCTGAGCGGCTGTGACAGACACCTACCTATGGCTGCCAAAGCCTAAAATATTTTGTTTGGCCCTTTAGGAGAAGATTTCTGCCCCCTGTTCTAGAGATGATAAAATGTTGAGGTTGGATCTCTAAGGTGCTTAAGTTCTGTGACTTTGGAGCTGGATAATGTGGCTCATTGGGCAGCTGTAGAGAATGAATGGCTCCAGTACCATGATTTTTTTAAGTCGGTTTATAAATATGAAAGAGAGATCCAAGACACAAAAACATTTATTCTGCCTTAAAATCTTTTGTTTCCTTGTAGACACTTTAAGAGAGTGGCAAGGAGAAAAGATGATTTATCATTTTATTTGGGTTTAGAATAAACAATACATTTTATTTACAATCCTAATACTAAAAACATTATCAAGTATTCATCATCTTTAAGAACAGTTGCTATAATGTCAAAAATCTATTGGTCTCTTAAAAACCAGGATTAAATAGAATCTGTCTCCACAGCATTTCCTCTCTCCAGATACTCTCCCCTTTTCTCTGCAACAGGTTCGGTAACCTTTCGGTGCTTAGAATCACGTACACTGAGTTTGAAGAAAAGACAAAAAATAAACATGTATTAGGTGTGTGTTTTTTTGTTGTTGTTGTTTTTAACCCAGCATTGAGTTTAGGACCAAGCCTTATGTGTAATAGGCAAATACTATGTCCAAATTCTAAATTGCACAGCAAAGAAGCATTTGAGGGGGACTGCCTGGAGGAGGGACACCAGCTGTGTCCCGAAAGGCACGTAGGATTTGGGAGTAAGACGGTAAGCCAGAGGGCAAGGGCCAGCACATGCAGTGTTAGAGCAGGAGTGACAATGATGGGAAGACACAGGTGATGAATGCTTGGGCCAAGTGACCATAATGAAGATCCCCAACTTCTTTTTGAGGAGTAATTTTTCATTTTCTTTCTGATGTGTGACTTCATACTCGTTCCTGGGGTGAAGCATGCCAGGGACAAAGGTGTGGCACTCCGGTCACCAGGGTAAGCAGACTGGAATCTGAGCTGTGAGATGGCTGGCGTGTATCAACAATAGAAGCCAGTGTTTACCTATTACTAGGTGCCAGGCTCTATTCATATGTTACCTCATTGACCCCCATAACCATGCTTTTTGAGTCAATGATATTATCTCCATTTTACATCAGGGAAAGTGAGGCACAGGGAGATTAAATACCTTGCTCAGGGTCACAGTACTAAGCGGTCATGTGAGAATGGGCTGGGTCATTGCAAGGCAACACTCTTCATGGTTTA